CCCCCCTTGAAAACGTCAATAATAATATATACGTAATATTGTGAATTCGGGCAAAAACCTGACCTGGTAAAAAAAATATCTACATATTTCAATTTGTTTGGAATCAGCACACAACATTCCGTGGTGCTGGACATGTTTCGTCGCTAAGCCGTACCCACCATCGACCAGTCACTACCTCAAGAGGTACAAAGTTCTTTCTGCTGAGTACCTAGTTTTGAGAAATTTGACGTCAAAGATTTTGAGTTTCACAACATGTCAAGCTTTTTTTTTAGATGCAATTCTTTTGAATATCTTAATAACGACTTCGAATAATCCTACGATTTTGATAGAGCAGATAGAACCTTAATTTGTAAGGCATCGTGGTGGAATCAGGCTCTCGTCCATTTCTGGGCGTTTAGAGTTATTAGTATCATCTTAAAGCTTGTTCACTTGTCTAGATTTGGATGGAAAAAAATATATCCATTTACCTTGAATACAAGTCGAGATATTTGCGAATGAAGGAGGTGGGGGTCACCTGTTTTCAGAGGTAAAATTAGTGAGAAAATGGCCGCCAAAGATTATTTATTTCCTTAGCTTAAGAGTCCGTGGTAACTGAAAATTTACATTTTTTGTGCCTTTAATCTAGATCTACGTTTTTCAGAAAAATCCACACAGAAATGAGTTCTTTAATGGGTATGAAAGGTATTGAACCAAAAAACAAAAATTTGATAAAAATTCACAAACCTGCGGGAAAAATGCAAGTTTCTTCACTTTGAATATTTAGACGAGAGCCTGATTCCACCACGCTGACTCACATTTGGTTTTTGATCTCATGGTCTTCGAAACTCAAAACGCTTAAAACTGTCAGACAGAACTTTGTAACTGTGAGGCAGCACATTGTTGTGAGCGTGCATTGCACTGCTGTACAGCGAAACCTTACCTTATTTGTCAGCTGGTGGATTTTCTCTAAGCCCAGCCAGAAGTTTCCATAGAGATCTCCAAACCCGTCCTTGTATTCTGCCCAGCCACGATAGAAGTCCACGTCGCCCGAGGTACGTCTCTGTACATAGAACAAAAGTGGGTGGTATTTAGGTAGAACAATGTTGACCATGTATTCAGGTAAAACAATGATGACCCACCTGTACCTGTATTATTGTACCGACCTGTATTCAGGTAAAACAATGTCGAGTCACCTGTATTGTACCGACCTGTATTCAGGTAAAACAATGTCGAGTCACTTTGTTATGTACCGACCTGTATTCAGGTAAAACAATGTCGAGTCACCTGTATTGTACCGACCTGTATTCAGGTAAAACAATGTCGAGTCACCTGTATTGTACCAAACTGTATTCAGGTAAAACAATGATGACCCACCTGTACCTGTATTGTACCGACCTGTATTCAGGTAAAGCAATGTCGAGTCACCTGTATTGTACCAAACTGTATTCAGGTAAAGCAATGTCGAGTCACTTGTTATGTACCGACCTGTATTCAGGTAAAACAATGTTGACCCACCTGTTATGTACCGACCTGTATTCAGGTAAAACAATGTTGACCCACCTGTATTGTACCAACCTATATTCAGGTAAAACAATGTCGACTCACCTGTATTGTACCAACCTATATTCCGGTAAAACAATGTTGATTCACCTGTATTGTACCAACCTATATTCATTTAAAACAATGTTGATTCACGTGTATTGTACCAATCTATATTCAGGTAAAACAATTTCGACTCACCTGGAAAACAATCCAACCGCCATGGTCCGTCTCGGTGTCGCAGACGACCGTCATGTCGTTGTCGAGAGTGACCACAGGTCGGGGGTTGGTACTTTGCACGTCAGCGCACGTGCGGAGCAGCTGAGAAATCCACAGGGAAGAGTTAGTTGTTTGGCGGTTTGGTTGGTTGGTTAGTTGGTTGTTTGGTTGTTTATTTGTTTGTTTGGTTGGTTGTTTGGGTGGGTGGCGGATGCTCTGGTGTGGTCTGCTCCTTCGTTCCTGTCAAACATCCTTCATCCATATTATATAAATCTCTCCTCCTTCTTTTTTTTGTATATTACACCCAGGTAACATCTCAAATCTTCAATACTTCTATCATGACCTATTCGTATTGCTAGCGCCGTAAAACTCTTACTAAAACAACTCTCACCTTTTGCTTTTATTAATAGTGTCAAAAATATGCAATATTCGATCCATGATAAGAGATCGTATGTGCACAACCTGTACTTTTTCCGTGTAGAAACGTTATTGAACAAATGGGTTATTTCTATCATGTGATGTGGGCCAGTGGCCTTATACACTGAATAATCTTACTCACTTACCCTTTTCTGACCTACGTAGCGTTCAGCCTACTGTCGATATTGCAAGTGCCGTAAAACCATTACTAAAAAAAATAATCACCTTTTCCTGGACTTCCATAGCTTTCAGCTTACTGTCGAATATTGCAAATTAAATGCCGTAAAACCCTTCCTAAAAAAACCCCCTCACCTTTTTCTTGATCTCCATATAGCGTTCAGCTTACTTTCGATATTGCAAGTGCCGCAAAATCGTTACTAAAAAACAAACCTCTCACCTTTACCAGGACTTTGGTAAACTAACTTTTTCCTGGACCTCCGTAGCCTTCAGCTTACTGTCGATATTGCAAGTGCCGTAAAACCCTTACTAAAAAAAAAACCCTCACCTTTTCCTGGACCTCCGTAGCCTTCAGCTTACTCTCGATACTGCAAGTGCCGTAAAACCCTTATTTAAAAAACTGAACCTCACCTTTTCTTGACCTCCATATAGCGTTCAGCTTACTGTCGATATTGCAAATGCCGTAAAACCCTTACAACCCCCCCCCCCCCCCCCCCCCCCCCCCAGACCTTACCTTTCTCGGGACCTCCGTAGCCCTCACCTTTTCCTGGACCTCCGTAGCCTTCAGCTTACTCTCAAGGTTGCAAATGCCGTAAAAATCCTACTAAAAAAAACAACCTCACCTTTACCGGGACCTCTGAAGGCCTCACCTTTTCCTGGACCTCCGTAGCGTTGAGCCTACTCTCGACACTGGCCTCCAGAGCCTGTACCATCGCCGTGACATTCTGCAGAATGTCGTCTCTCTGCTGCAGGCACTCTCTGTTCGCCTCGGCCACGGTCTTCCTCGCGTCCTCCAGAATGCTGTCTCTCTGACGCTGCAGCTCTGAGTTGCCCCGCTCCACGATCTCTGTCACGTTCTGAAGAAGCCCCTCAGTCCGTCGGAGAAACTCGCGGTTGTTCTGCTCCAGGGCCGTCTCCACTCGCGCCATCACCTGTCGCTTGTGCGAGAGCAGCTGATGGGGGAACTGTCTCTTGTTGCGGTCGAACGTGTCGCTCAGGGCCTGGGGAGTGAGGTAATGGCCATGATAATGATAATAACAGTAACATTCACAGTAACAATAATTTTCACAATCGTAAAA